AATGTTTTTAATTTTCATAATTGACATATTTTTGTGGACTTGGACATTTTTAATTCATATCCCATCTTTTGAGTAAAGAAGTGCATCCATATTTCATGCCTTTTAATGCATAAATTCACAGCCCTCTTACTGGGTGAAATAGCTGGTTTGGACATGGTGGTTAAGATTAATTTAATGTTATGATAGTATGTATGGTCCAGTGGCCTATTTATTTATATATATTTTTTTTTAAATATATTTATTAGAGTATTAGGAAGAGGATAACAATCGTGAAAATAAATTAACTTATATACAATATTAAGTAGGTACCTAGTTTAGAAGTTAGTAGTTATTATCTATGTTCTCGATATATAAATGTATTGATAATATGTCTTATAACTCAAATATTTTATAAAGGTATATACCAATAGCGAGATATGTTAGTAAAATCAAATTATCTAAATATTTCTATTCATTGTTTAAATTATGGAGTTATGCAATCAGGGGGGTTAGGTCCTAACTCAAGGAGGGGGGTTGAACCTCCCCATGACCTCACTAACCTATGTAGTCTTGTGTGTTCGTGCTTATATATATAACTCACTGGAGCAATTTTCTAAAAAAATTTTTTTTTTTTTGTTAAGACTTCGACAACTGAGGTCATTAGCCCGGGGGAACTGTAGGGGAAGGTACTGTAGGTTTTAAACACGTGGGTATTTTTTGGCAGAATTTTGAATGGGCACCCGTAGGTTTCTGCCATGCCTGGTTGGGGCGCCGCGGCCTCTCTCTCCAGACACCGCAAAATGCCCAAAGGGCGATGCCGCCCGTGACCAAGGTTCGAACCGGCGACTGCGTGCATGGCAACAGACGCCTTAGTCCGCTCGGCCACTCCACCCCCCTTTAAATTATTGTATGTCTACATGCAGTATACAACGATTGCATACATTATCTGTTAAGATTTAAGAACTGTAAGATTAGATAGGTAAGTAAGGTAAGTAAGATTCAAGGTTTATAGATTATACAGGTTGCCTCAAAGTCGTGTATATATTGCCTACCCTCCGCAGCTCCATCATACCGTGTGACGTCATTGTCGTACAGATTTTGATGTATACTGTATCAGGGCGGTTGTACCTATAGTTTTAGTAGTTTACTTTCCATAAATTATTTGTTTATTATTTTAATTTTTTGTGTTTAATAAAACAGAACAGGGAAAGAGGTATTTATATTATTTAAAAGGTGTATTTAATAATATAGGTAATAGAAAATAAATAACTAATTATTGTTTTTAGGAAAAAAAAAATATAATCAAAAATATATTGTAAAATCACCACTCACTATCTAAATAAACAAATATGTTCAAATAGTATAAATAATATACCTAATATAATATAATAATATGATATACATAATACAAAATATACACTAAATAATATCGAAATGTTATAGGAATATACAAATTTATTGAATACTAGTGGTTTGTTCAATACATCATACTACATAATTATTTAAAAAAATAAATGTATAATTATGTTATTGTCTTTCTTAGTTTATTTTGTCTTTGTAACTTTATTTTAAATTTTTTTATTTTTCRCATATAAATTAAATTTTGATTAAGATATTTCATTCGTATGATTATTTTTTGTTTTATATATGTTTGAATTATAATTTTATATTTTTGTTCCATTATTACTCTATTATAAATTGTATTCGTCAAATATTTTACAAATTTACAATGTATCGTCCTTTGGGAATTTGTCCTTTCCTAAATTTTATAAATAATTTTTCACAACGTAGTATTAGCTTTTTGAAATCAATGCTTGGAACTATTAATCCGCCATAAGATAAATGCTGTACACATGTTGACAGTGTATAATCATTACAGGTACTTATAGTACGTATCTAGTTTCGTATTAGTTTCGATTTGTACGCGTGTATTTAACGTGGAACTTGTAAAAATCAAGTAAAGAAAATGATAAAATTGCATTACACGAGTATACTTTTACTATATTATACAATGAATGCTAAAGTATAATTCGATAAAAATGTTCAAAAAGTTCATCAATGCAATGTGCAGCAATATTAATTACCGATTTGAACTGTAAGAAAACCATACGTTTTGAACAAAAACATTGTCGTGCTGCTAATAAATGTTAAAGAGGCGCCATGAAAATCAAGCAAATTATTAAGGATAGGTAGGTCATAAGGAAGAGATCCTTTATAACTGATTAACTGAATAAATACATTTTTATATTTTTTAAATAATATTATTATATAAGATATACATTTTTCAAATTTTTTGGTAAATGTATTATGATGTTCGATTAAACGCCTTATGTCAACGTTTTGATGAAGATAAATCTGCAGATATTCCTAATTTTTTAAAATAAATACGTCAAAATATAAGAAAGAATTCATTTATAACTGAATAAATACATTTTTATATTTTTTAAATAATATTATTGTATAAGATTTACTTTTTTATAAAATTTTTAATAAATTTGTTATATGAAGTTCCCATTGATTCACTTGTGTCAACGTTTTTATCAAAATAAATCTGCAGATCAATTAATTTATTATAATTTTATATTTTACATATTTTTATATAATATGTAACTGATTTTTTTTATCGGGGACTTTTTTCATAATATTGTGTGTAATCTGTATTTTGGTATTTGGTAATGTGTAATGTGACAAAGTCTCAGTGATAAAAAACAAAATGTTCAACCCCCCTCCCCCCACCATTGAAAACTCCCGAGTACGCCTCTGTATGCAATATGGAAACAGTTTAATTATATCAATACCAAAGTTAATAATAATTGATAAGTAACCCCATTTATGGATCAAAATTTTCTTTGTGTTAGTAATACCTACCAAATATTCTTATAAATAAGTGTTATGGCTTAATCAAAATAAATATTTGATTTCCCTGCCAGCAATAAATTTGTAATACATTAAAAATGTGAATGTAGGAAAAAAAAGAATGGAAGAAAAATCCACGGAAAAAAAGCCAAAAAAAAAATCCAGGGATAAAAAGTCACGGGAAAAATAATCCACTGAAAAAAAAGCCATGGGAAAAATAATTTAATATATATCAATTAAAATTAAAGTATTAAATTAGGTATTATTTAAAATTTTTTTACACATTATTGGTCATATTTTATACATATATATATATATATATATAATTATTGAATTTTTAATTAGAAATTAGGGTTTACCAGTAGTGATCATTGCGCGATGGAACGCATATGATATATGAACTATGAAGACGTGAGTGGGTTCACCATACGGCGAGTTATGGTACGTGGCGCGCTCGAGCACCTCAATATATAATTATTAATACACAGGTTATAATATGTTATTATTTATTATTCATAGTAATAAATATATTTTACATTCTAGACAGCAATGAATGTATTGATTTTATTAAACAAAAAGTTTTATTTATTTATTTTTTTATTAATTCACAAATTGGGTTTTTTATTCCATTACAGTGTACCTACTTAATGTAAYGGACATAATATGCACAATTTATTTTATATACATTTCAAGTTAAAATTGTTATGATTATATAGATCATAAATTTATTTTAACATTTTTTTTAAGGCATTCTATACGTGTTTATAAATTATTTTTAAAATCCACCAAGCATCAACAATAATTAGTGACTACTAAATTATGAAGTATTAGTAGTTGTTTTTTAAGTAAAGGAAAGTATTAATTTTAATATGTCCCGGTTACAATATTTCCATTTGTATGAGTGTATGACCCTTCATCAATAATCATTAATCAATATTGTTTAGTACCTACAAATTTTTATGTTCTTATAAAAATATATTTTGAATTTTACAAACTCGTTTAAGCTGCACTGTAGAATTTTTAATACTTACTATAGGCATGTATATTATTATAGTTGTATAGTAGGTATCTAAGTATATACAAAATAATATTATCATTATGTTCGGTACCTATATAGTAGCTGCGTAGCACAGTAGCTGGAATAGTAGTATTGTAACTTGTGTTATCATCACGAACTAATAGACATTATATTATTATATCTCAGTTCTTGGTTATTATACTAATAAGTTATTTTAAGTATTTTAACAACGTTCATATTTTTAAGTCATAAATTATTTAGTCATAAGC